TGCCTCCAGAAGCTGTGAATGCTCCAACACTGGACATTTTTAAGAAGAGACCAGACAGCCATTTGTCTGAAATGGTTTAGGGTTTCCTGCCTGAGCAGGAGGTTGGACTAAATGACCTCCAAGGTCCCGTTCAGCTTTATTACTACTACTACTACTACTACTAAATAAAATACTCAGGAAATGGGCTTTAAAAAAAGGATTCTCATTTGCAGTTGTTGTAACTATAATACATAATACACTGCATGTATGGAAGTACAGGTAGTCCTCGACTTATGACCATTCATGCAGTCACGTGATTAAAATTTGGGTGCTTGGCAATTGGCATATATTTACTATATGTCAAGCTCCCGGGGGCTTGACATGCAAACGGGGACGGGGGGGAGCGGACAGCAGCCCAAAACCTCCGGCAACCGCCGAGCAGCAAGTTCTCACAGCTGGAGCCCGGCCCGAGCGGGGATACTTGGCCGGCCCGCCTCCCCACGCAGACGCACAGGCACAAACGAGCGCCGGCCTATTTACGAGCCTGGAATCCCCCGACGATCAGCTGGGGGCAGCAAGCCCGGAATTCCCCGCGGTACAGCTGATGTCGGCAAACCCGGAAGTCCCCAAGGGCCAGCTGCGGCCGGCGAGTCGAACGCCTGCCGGCACGTCGACGTGGGACGGGAACCCTCTGCACCTACAGGGGGATCCAGCGTGGGTAGCGGGTGGGGGTTACTTACCAGACAGAGGGGCCGGTAGGCAGGGAGAGCTTGGTGGCGGGAAGGTAACGCGCGGACCGCACACACGGACAGAGGGATGCGGGGGTGGGGCTCCGTCGGCGAAAGGGAGAGCACAAGGAAAGGGTGAAGCATTTATCCAATGCGAGCGGATGTTGGCTTGGAGTTGGGGGCGGGAGCACAGGGTGTGGCACACAGTTATAGAGCGCTGGGAGACAACCACTCCCAATGCTGACTTTGTTTCATCTTCACAATAAATCGCTTGGTGAGTTCAGTGTGTACCGGCGTTCCTTTTGTTCTTACTCACGGACGACAACGGATGCACTTGACACTATAGTTGCAGCAACCCAGGACCACATGATCTCCAATTGCAACCTTCGCAGCCGGCTTCTGACAAGCAAAGTCAATGGGGGAAGCCGGATTCACTTAACAACTCTGTGATTTGCTTAATGACCTTGGCAATAAAGGCTGTGTAGATTGGGCGCAACTCAACGCTACCTCATTTTTTTGGGGGGGGGGACTGACATTTTAGTCCCAACTGTGGTAATACGTTGAGGACTACCTATAAAACACCATCCAGTCAGAGCTGAAGAAGCTTCTTGGATGAGAAGCGAAACATCTTCAAAGAGAAAAAAAAAAACCAAAATCCAGTTGCCTTGTGAAAAAGCAACCTATACATTACCTATAAAACAACTTTCCCCATTGTGCTGGTTTCAAGATTTGCCAGATACCCTTTCCGAGAATATTTGGGAGGACACCGAGTTGGGAAAAGCTGACACAGACCCTTACAAAAATTAATAAAAGCAGACCAGTCTTCCATACGTTTGCCTTTTTCTTTCTTTGATGTAGTATGATAATTTGGCTGCTAATGTAATATCCTGCAATTTATCAACCCAGTCTCCTAATATCCTGTTGTCACCAAAAAGGATCCTGACGGCAGCAGCCCTAGAAAACGGCAATTCCTTAGGCTCTTATTGATTTAAGTGATATGTATAATTCAAAAGAGGAAGCTCTAATAGAATTTATGTACCAGGAGCTATAATTCTTGTATGTTCCTCGCAGTGGAAAATAACATATCGGTTTTTTCTGTTTGTTTTGCTAATGGACCACCCACAATTCATGATATAGCTCCTTTTATTGCAAGATTAAGCAACTGTTTGCGAAGTACTGATTTGATTACATACCATCAAGTCAGTGTTGACTATTAGCAACCACAGAAACTGATTTTCTCCAGAATTTGGGGTTGATTTATTTGATGATCCATTTATGGCTTTCTTGGCTGCCCAGGGTATTCTTGGGAGTCTTCACCAACCTGAAAGTCCGAAGTGTCAACCTTCTTCTTATCCTGCTTCTTCAAAGCTGAACTTTAATTTCTCTATAAGGTCACAGGAAAAAACGTGGGCTGCACAATTCGGATTTTTCTAGTTATAGACACTTTCTAGCGTTAGAACATCTTTTGCAAGGTCTTCTTGGTTAATCTACCAAGTGCTAATTTGTGGCATATTTCTTGACTGCTGATATCTTTAGTTGATTTTAAAAGGCAGGAACTAACCACCACTTCCAAATCTTCACTGTTAGTTCTAAGGCTGGCTGTTGTGCCTCTTATCATTAGTTTAGTCTCTTTATATTTAATCTTAGTCTCTTTTTCCTTTTTTCTCCATTATATTCTTTGTTATTACTATAGCTCAAATCATATGCATGGCACTAGATCCCACTAGATTCGAGGGGGATAATTTTTCAGTAGACACTGTAGTTTTATATGATTAATCAAGGTGTATCACCTTGCTAAGACCTTGGAACCATTTTCTTTAAATGTTATATTTAGTAGCTCAAAGATTTACTTTGCGGCTCCTCACAGACCGTATGACTTTTAAGTCTCTATGGATCATACAAGAAATCAATTCAGAATTCTCATTCAAGGCATAAATGACCAGAATCAATTATGATATTTTGGACTTCTCTTTGGAAGTCTATAATGCTGGGAATGATGGAAGGAAAGAGAAGAAGATGACTAACAAACAGTAAGGTGGATGGACTCTATTATAACAGTGATGGGTACACTGTTAGAAGACTTGAAGACCAATTTGGGGCAGTTCATCCTGGAGAATATGTGGCTGACACTCAGTTGATGGCACATAATGAATGAATGAATGAATGAATGAATCTATCAATCAAAAGATCTTCACAAAAGGAAAATCTTAACTGCTATGATAATGCTGAAACATAGCAAGATTGCCACAGATGGTGCCACTGGAAAAACGTCACAATATGGATGTGGCATATTTAGGGAGTGTTATGCTTATGGATGAAGGCCACATCCATGCTGATTATGGTACTCTTTCTCTATACATAGGAAATATTAAGAAGAGTGAATGCAAAAATCTACAATGTGTATGTATTAGTGACAAATTAAGGGTGCATGGAAAAGTGGCTGAACAGAATTCTGATTGAAACGATACGAGAGGTGACATTGAGCATAATTTGTCCTGCAGCTTTATGCCAGATAAGGAGTGCTGTAAGCAGATCAGATTTTTGCTCTTTAATTGGTCATTGAGAAAGGTGTGAGAAAGACAATTTATTGTGTGTCTGTTGATTTACAGAAAATATATGATGAAATGGATAAGCTTGGATTATGGAACATTCGGGGCATATTTGCTGAATATAGTTAAGAGTAGTAAGAGATTGAACATGTCTGAGAGAAAAGGGAATACTTAAGGAATGAGTATGGAAAAAAAAAACTAATATGTGTGATGTCCCTTCAGCTGTTTATGTATTTATGAATAAATGTGTAAGTAAGCCAGCATGCTATTGAAGGCAAAAGAAGCAGGGGACGGCAAAAGATGAGATGAGATAGATGGTGTCATTGATGCAATGAACATGAATTTGGGCAAACTCCAGGATACAGTGCAGGAGAGGGGGTCCTGGCGTGCTATGGTCCGTGGTGTTGCAAAATCAGACACAACTTAGTGACTGAACAACAGTCACTGGGAGTTGAAGTCCCCACATCCCTAAGTTGCCGAGTTAGAAAAACACTAGGTTAGGTTATGAATGTGTCTATATTTTGGTATGCAGAAAATGCTGTGTTTTTTGATGCAGACATTAAAATGCATGATGCAATAAAGAATGTGGATCTAAAAGTTAAATGTATCAAATATATAACGGAAGAAAGAATAAGTTGAAAGATGAGGGAAGACTGAGTAACTCGAGATTGGAAGGAGCTAATAAAATCCACAAAAAGACACGAGTTGAATTTTTTTTTTAAATTTTTTTTGAATGATATTCAAATTAGAGTCATAAACTCTTTTATTTTGATTAGAGTGATATTATCTTTTATTCAGATTCAAAACTGACATTAGCATATGATTCTAAATTATTGATCACTGCTGTTGCTGCTGATACTAAGGAATGTAAAAGTTTATATTGGTTATGCTTGATAATAGAAAGTATTCAGCTGGTATCAGGTGCAAAAGTTCACATGTGATGGTCTAATTAAAGTGAATATTGCTAATCATGCCTATGCATAGGAATCTTCCCAACTAACAGTTAGTACCTGTTTGGAGTTAGACAGGGAACAATGGAATTCAAGGGGATGAACTTAGCTCACTTATGGCTATATAGGAATTCTAGGCTGATCACTCTTTTGACTCCCCCCTCCATCCCCCCAGATTCTTCTTCTACAGTTTGATCTGGAATAGTATTCCTGCAAAATGTTCTATAACACAATTGAAAATTGAAAATGTTCATTTAATTTCCCATTCTTGGAGTTTTATCATTCCAAATAATTTTTAAGAAACACAAAGTTATTAACGTAAAATTGTGATTATTTCATGAACATATTACAATAGGAAGAAACTGATTTTTTAAAAAAAAAATGTTGTACTAAATTTTAGTTTTCTTTTTATTCCAAAGAACCTAATTGGTTTTGTTTTCCAATGGAAAAACAGAAGAAGTAGAGGGGATTTTACCCTGGTATTAGAACTGCTCAGAGTTGCTGGAGTTGGATACCATATATGTTTAATACAGGAAATAATAATACAAAGAAGAGGGAGTCAAAGCTATTCTCCAAAGCGCCTGAAGGCAAGACAAAAAGCAACGGATGGAAACTAACCAAAGAGAAGCAACCTAGAACTAAGGAGAACCTTCCTGACAGTTAGAACAATTGATCAGTGGAACAACCTGCCTCCAGAAACTGTGAATGCTCCAACACTGGAAGTTTTTAAGAAGAGACTGGACAGCCGTTTGCCTGAAATGGTATAGGGTTCCTGCCTGAGCAGGGGTTGGACTAGATGACCTCCAAGATCACTACTACTACTACTACTACTACTACTATGACCCTTTGCAAGTAGCTCTTGATTCGTTTAGCAACCGCTCAAAGATACAATACAAAGAAAAAAATAATATATAACAGGTCCTTGCATTTTAAACTGTTGCAACATCCCCATGGTCACGCGATCAAAATCTGAGCACTTAGAAACCGGAATACATTTATGACAGTTGCAGCATCTCACACAGTCATGTGCTTGCCATTTATTTGGGACTTTCCCAGCCAACTTCCAAGGAGCAAAGTCAATGGGGGAAGTCGGATTTGCTTAACAATTGTGTGATTCGCTTAATAACGGCAGTGATTTCCTCAACTGTCAGGGAAAAAAAAGTCGTACAATCAAGCACAACTCATTTAACCATCTTGCTTAGCAGTGGAAATTCTGGAAATTCTAAATCGAAGACTGCCTGTAATCTGGCAAAAATAAATAACTAAAAGAGCCTAACGTTCCTCTTTTGTCTACAGATACCTCTGCAACGTTGAACGGTGTAGAAAGGCTGCAGAAATAAGAATTCGGAGCAACCTAGATACAGAGAGGTCTTTGACTGGATTTTCTCTTACTAACTCCTGTTTGTTTTGCAACCTTCAATGTCACAGAACATATTCTTCTGAGCTTCCCATCTCTGCTCCCCAACATCCCTGCTCCATGTCGGACTTTGCATGATTATTCTTAGGCAGTTTTGACAGCCTCAGGTGCTAGATAGCTCACTAACTAACATTCTCCTCCTGATTATGGGGGAGTGTGAATAAAGCAGAGCCGTATTGATTCACACCAATCTATGCATTGACTGTGCGAAAGCCACTTGCAATTCCCACCAGCATTAGAAATAGGGAGGGATATGACCAGGCAAGTTGAGAAAATAAATTAAAAGCGTGTCAACTTTTCTTGCTGCTTTTTTAAAGTTATTAATGGATGGAATGGGAGCTCGTTTATTGAGGAAAGGCAAAAATTAATTGACGCCAGCTTTAATATTATTATGCCCAGCGTGCCTGGTCACATTTCTTTCTTTATTTATTTTTAAAAGTCATTTTATTACAGTTTACAGCAGCCAGCTGCCAAAGCTAGTGGTGTAAACAAGAAAGCAGGTGTGTGAATAATGGGGCAGCCGAAAGAGACAATTCCTTTACGGCATCAACTCAACCGTCTTAAGTGCAAGCGAAGAGAAAAGCAGAGTAAATATAGACTTGGAAAAGATCACCTGGCAAGGAATCATATGAAAGAGCAAGACAAGAACAGGGGAGTAATATTTCTTCATTATCCAGCTCGGAATTGCAGAAAGGAGTTAGCAGCAACAGGGACTAAGGCTAGATAATATATACTTCTGTCATCCAGAGTTTTCTGCATCTGCCAGAGGGCCAGATGAGAAGTCATGTTGCAGAAAGAGATCAATTTTGAGCTGTGCAAGAGCTGAATGACAGTGGGATCCACCCACTAATCAGCTGAAATATGGAAAACTATAAAGAACAGGGCGGGCTTCACGGACTGGCGTCTTAGAACCTTGATGAGGCCTGCTGCAAACGACTGACCGGCCCATCTGCTATTAATTGTTTTATTTATAGCATTTGCTAACTTTTAACTGCAATTCTGGCTTTTTGCCCCCAGGGTCCTGGAAGATGCCTTTTTCCAAAGATCACTGTGTGTGGAAAGGGGTCGATGGAGGAGGAGGATCTTAGTAGTGCTTCTGGTTTTTTTAAGGATTTAAAAGAAGATCCTTGAGGATTTTCACCTCAGACTGGTCTCTGCAGTCTGGATCCCAGGTTGATCTATTGGAAAAGAAAGACTAGACCTAGAATACTGGTTCCTTGAAGTCAGGTGCATGATCTATTGCTGGGGTTCCCAACCTGGCTGGGGATCGCAGGACCCTAGGACACGGCAAACGTTGTAAATACGTACCGGTTGCCAAGCACCTGGATTTTGATCACATGACTATAGGGATGCTGCAAGGGTCGTAACTGTGAGCAACAGTTGTAAGTCACTCTTTTCAGGGCCGTTGTAACTTCAAGCGGTTGCTAAACAAATGATTGTAAGTCGAGGACTACTTGTGCTGCAAAAATATACCCTCTCCAATTGCTAGGATCACCAGGAGGGGCTGGAACTCCAGGGTTATTTAGCCTCCGCTTTGCAACACAGCCAATACCACAATTAATTTCTCCTGGTTAAACTCTGGAAAGCTCCAGTTGGGAACTCTGCAGAGCATTTATCATCAGCGTTAAGACATCACTGATCTAGGTGGACCAGCTTTTAAGATTTCAGAACAGGGGACCTTTTTCCTAGCTATCACAAGAAAGTGTCCAATTTATTAAAAAAGAGGACACCCGCTCCCCCCCCCAAAATCAAACCTACAAGGGAAATGTATGCAGTTATAGCAGTTTGCCCTCAATCAACCCCTTCCCTCTCTCTGTTTTGCACCCAGTTCCGAGAAATATTCCCGCAAATACCCACAGTGAAGAAAATCTGTTGTCAGCTGAAAAGGGGAAGGGGCAGAAGCGGGAGAGGAAATGCACCTGAGGCCAAAGCTTGGAAAATATCAACCTCATTGAATTCTGACTCTAGCAGCCAGCCTGTGAATGACACTTGTCAAGGGAGAAGATTAGCTCACTGACGCTTTTTGGCGCATGCATAAAGGCGTCTATTGTGCTGGGAGGGAAGGGAATAAGAATGAGAGAAGAGCACATCCAGCCTGTCTCGGCAAGGTATGATGGCCCCTAAGATGTGCAAAGGCTCCACGGAGGCCACAAGAGAAAGGCCTTAAGGCAGAAACCGGCAGGCAAGGGCCTCCGAGTGAGGACTTCACAAAAAAGGTCCGGACATTTTAATACCGACACAGCAGGAGAGAGGAGACGGGAGGTCAGCTGCGCAGCAGGAGAAAGAGGCAACAATTGTCTCTGGCTTTGGCGGCGGCTTTTCCAGTTCCTTCCCCTCGGATGGATGGCATTTGCGACAGAGCTCAGTCAAAGGTGTGAGGGAGGATGTTGCGCCGGTGATTTGTGTGGTGCAGAGACACGTACAGAAAGAGGGAAAGACACCCCAGGGAATCTGAGGACTTGAAAAATATTCCCTGTCTGCTTACAGCTCCGCTCTCAGTTCTTAGTCCTGAGAAATGCGGAGCCGATTCGGGTTCCTGTTCTTCTAACTTTTTTTAAAAAAAATTGCAGGATTGTTTTGTTCATGTCAGGTAATTCAGGCAATCCTTGACTTGCGACCACGGTTGAGTCCAAAATTTCTGTTGCTAAGTAAGACAGTTGTTGTCAAGGTTGAATTGCTAAAATGCTTGCTAACCTCTGTCGCTACTCAAGTGGGCATAGAAACGGGGAGGGAGAGCTTGGGAAAAGGAATGGGAGTGTCAAGGACTGTGAGACCCAAGGTCACAAAGACAGGTGTCTGAGGGAGAAGTGGATCCTTCCCATAACAAACCGAAGATAAATGACTGGGCAATGTGAACATTTGGTGGGTTAGGGCTACGAAAAGCCATTGTTAACTAACTAGATTTTCACACGGGAAAATTAGCGTTGATTTTGCTTCTTCAGTGCAGATATACGTATTCAATAAAATTTATCTCTTATGGCACCTCAAGACCGTAGAGCAGGGGTCCCCAACCCCCGGTCCGTGGATCAGTACTAGGCCGTGGCATACCAGCAATCGGTCTGCAAAAACAAGTAAAGCCCCATCCGCGGGATGCAGGCAGCACACAAAACCACACATACTCCGGTCCACAAAAAAAACCTCTTTCCATGGAATCAGTCCCTGGTGCTCAAAAGGTTGGGGACCTCTGCCATAGAGTCCCTTCAATATTGCATTGGCTAGCCGTACAGTTGACAGCTGTTAAGTGAACTTTTCTCTATTTTACGACATTTCTTGCCACAGTTGTTAAGTCAATCACTGCAGCTGTTAAGTTAGCAACATGATTGTTAAGTGAATCTGCCTTACGCATTGTCAGAAGGTCGCCAAAGAGGATCACCTGATCTTGGGACACTGAAGCTGTCATAAATATGAGTCAGTTGCTAAGTGTCTGAATTCTGATCATGTGACCATGGGGATGTCGCAACGGTTGTGTGAAAAACGGTCATAAGCCACTTTTTTTAGTGCCTTTGTAACTTTGAACGGTCACTAAATGAACTGTTGTAAGTCGAGGACTACCTGTCCTAGGAGATACCTGCTTCAAGTGAGGATCTTCAACTGAAATTGAAGATACAATTGATGAAATTGAAGAACAATTAATCAGTGGAACAACCTGCCTCAAGAAGCTGTGAATGCTCCAATACTGGAAGTTTTTCAGAAGAGAACGGATGGCCATTTGTCTGAAATGGTATAGGGCAGTGGTGGCGAACCTATGGCACGGGTGTCAGAGGCGGCACTCAGAGCCCTCTCTGTGGGCACGCGCGCCCTCGCCCCAGTCCTAGGCCTTCAGCTGGGTTTTATAAAAGCTTTTCGCTTTAGGCCTCCGCCGCCGTGTGCAAAAAAAAAAAAGAACGTTCAATGAATCAATCAATTTCAACTTCTTGCAGGAAAAAAAAAGATCTCAAAAAGTTGGAATTGATTGATTGAACTTTTTCTTCCCACCCAGTCTGCCGTTACCACCGCAGCCACACCCAGCCAATGGGCCACACCCAGCCAATGGGCCACACCCACCCGGCACCCAACGATACATAAGTGGGTTTTGGATTGCAGTTTGGACACTCAGTCTCTAAAAGATTCACCATCACTGGTATAGGGTTTCCTATCTGAGAAGAGGGTTGGACTAGATGACCTCCAAGGTTCCTCCCATCATCATCATCATCATCATTATCATCATCATCATCATCATCATCATTTCCTGATACTAGGATCAATTAATCAGTGGAATCGTTTGCCTCCTAGAATTATGGGTGCTCCATCGCTGGACATTTTCAAGAGACTGGACAGCCCTTTGTCCAGGATGGTATAAGGCAGTGATGGTGAACCTTTTAGAGACCGAGTGCCCCAAAACTGACCCCGCCTCCGCTCCACCCCCTGCCCTGCCCCCACTCTGCTTGCCTGCAGGGCCATTCACCACCTCCAGGGCCCACTGCAGATCACCCAGGCAGCCCAGCAGTGCCATGGCGGCCACGCCCTCTACCCGCGCCCCGCAGCATCAACTGTGCATGATGGGGCATGAGGACAGAGTCTTGTCTACGCTGCCTTGGCTGCAGTGCTCTGCGTGGGCCACACTTGGGAGCAACTCTCCTCCAGGGGGGCTGCTGGTGAGGAGGGGGTCATGGGGGAGGCAATGCTAGGGCAATGGCACATGTGCCCACAGAGAGGGCTCTGAGTGCCGCCTCTGGCACGCGTGCCACAGGTTCGGCACCACTGGTATAAAGACTCCTGCCATGCAGAGAGAGTTTGACTTTGAAGTCCTCCGTGGTCCCTTCCAGCCCTATGTTTCTGTGAGAAAAATCACAATAACAAAAGGCAGTTTTACTTGGTAATATAAAGGTATTATAATACTTTTTATGACAATACTTTTAACATCTGCCTCTCCTAGGTCTTTGGGAAGGACTCGACAGGTGGATAAACATGCCAAATCCAGTCTAAACCACTGGCTGACTTGAGTGACCAACCATAATAATAATAATCCTAAGAAGTACAGTTCACAAGAGAGATTAACAATTTCAGCCTGAGAACACGGAAACCCTGTAATTTTCCGGATTCTTTGGGAAAAGCCAAAGAATTAAACCGTATTGTGTCAACCTATATCGTCTCTTTCCTGTTACGGAGATTAAGATTCCCAGGAAGCAAATTCGCACGCCAGGTTTGGGCGTCTGATTAGACACCTCGGAGTAAGTGTTTACCCATCACAATTTTATCATTTCTGTTCACTAAATGATTGCAATCAGAACTTGTAACCACAATTATTAACGTGCCATTATACAAGCTCAGTCAGCACAGAGCACCAGGAAGACACCACACAAGCAGCCTTCTCCAAAATTAAAAATGAATACCTGCTCCTCTCATTTAACATGCACAGCAAATTCTCATTTGAAAAACAACAACAACACACACGTTACCAACAAAGGAGCTTTCTATAACTGCTAAACATTTTCTGTCAGTTTTACCAAAAAGAAGAGTTTCTACTACAATGGATTGCCAGTTCACCGTCTGGAGGGGGAGGGAGGGGGCACCAGCTTGGTATTGCAAGCTGTGTTAATGCAGACAGCACCTGGACTTTGCTTGGCAACCAATCTTCGTTTTATTTTATTGGCATTTCGAACTCAAATCAAAGGCCTAAGTAAATAATGATGCCCAGAAAATAGAAAGTATTGCCTTTACATGCACTCAGAAACATCTTGGATAAATTCAGAGATTATATAAACACTTGAATGAGGGTGAATCTTAAAGGACAACCTGAGGAAGAAACTTTAAAATCCATCTCTGTGGCATCTTTTTTTTCTTTTAGGTCAATTTTGACAAACATAGTCTCTAAAAATGTCATATTAAATTCACCTTATGCAGGCTTCTCTATTGGATTAGCAGGCCTACTCTGGAATTAAGTTATTTGAGGGGCTTAAATCCAATGTATTGTTGGAAGAAAAGTCTTCATCCTGGTTCATCCAAGCTGGGGATAAACATGGCAACTGCTTTGGGAAGAAGGTTGTAGTTTGTTGGAGAGGAGAGCCAGACAGAAAGATGGCTCTGGCAGAAAAGAGAGGGAACACATGTAGGGAGTGGGTTTTTTATACCCTCTGAAGCCTTTTGTTTTGAGTTGTTTCCTGTTCCTGTGGCATGAACTTTGAACTGAGTGTGCTTTTCTGGGCCTTGGTATCTGTGGTTTAATCCTATTATGTCCCAAAGGTCATATCCTGTTTCCCTGGGGCTGGGCTAATGACTCTTAGAGTTTGGGTGAGGTATGCAGATTTTAGGTCTTTGTCTTCTTAATCTTCTAGCTCAACCTTCTAGTGGTTCTCAACCTTTTTAATGCCGCGACCGGCCGTAAGTCGAGGACTACCCAACTGGTTGTAAGTCGAGGATTTTCCCTGCCCAGGAGCACCGCGCATGCGTGGTGCCGCCCCCTGCGCCGGCCGAGGCCTAGCTAGCAAGGGTCAGTGACGGCGCAGGGCAACCACCGGCTGGGCCACCAGCTGGCCCAGCCCAGGCAGGTAAGGCACCCGCCGGGCCCCACGCGTGCCAGCAACCCTCCCTGCGCCCGCCACTGCCCCGCTAGCCTTACCTTGGCTGCTGCCCGTTTGGGGCGGTGGCAGGCAGGCCCAGGCGCTCCTGGGCGGCCATGGCAAGCAGCAGCGACGGTGCAGGGCGACCACCAGCTGGGCCACCAGCTGGCCCAGCCCAAGGCAGCTAAGGCACCCGCCGGGCCCCACGCGCGCCAGAAACCCTCCCTGCGCCCGCTGCTAGTTGCTCAGCAGGGAGGGAAGCTTTCCTTGCAGCACTGTTTGCAGACTGGGGCTTTTGGCTGTCTCAGCAGGGCAGAGACAGCCTGGACAATTCCTATTGGCTTCTGAAAGCCAATAGAATTAGATTCTATTCTATTCTATTCTATTCTATTCTATTCTATTCTATTCTATTCTATTCTTTCAAAAGCCAATAGATTTTATTGGCTTTCGAACGCCAATAGAATAGAGTCTCTTGAATAGAGTCTATTCTATTGGCTTTCAAAAGCCAATAGAATAAGAGAGAGTAGCACAGCTGAAGAAAAGGGGAAAAAAATGGCAGGCAGCCTTGTTTGGCGACCCCCGTAAAATGGTCGTTCAACTCAAATGGGGTCGCGACCCACAGGTCGAGAACCGCTGTCCTAGCTCCAACTTTCCCCGAATGGTCTACATCTGCATTTCTATAGAGCTGGTTTCTGCTTGGGGGAGGCAGACTTGGGGCTATTAAGAAAACTGGGCATGCTTTCCTGCCTCTTCAAGATCCTGGGGAAATATATTTTTCTGCCCTTTTAACATTTCCTTCTCTGGGGGGGGTGTGTGTGACTTCCCACAGTATCTTAAAACTCAAACCAGACTTCATTTCACTTTGAATGAGGCAACTGTAGCTCTTTCCAAGACCCCAAGCCAAGAGACATTGTTCCAGGCAAAGCCTTTCCTCTAAAAGACAACCAACAGATAAGCAGAGTCCTTCAGCTGAGGCCCCAGAAGATGCTCAAACCGGTGACCTTGACAATGCATCACAACTACAAAACTGCCTGGTTCCAGACGAGAAATACATTACTTCTTTTCCTGCACATATTCTTGGTTTCATCCCCATATTCTCCTTTTGCAAATTTAATTTACACACCATTTTCTGCATCATTACCTGCTTCATATTATCAATTCATCTTAATCTATATGTGGGGCCAAGCAACCACGTGTCCTGTGAATGCGTTGGATTACAATTTGCACAATCCTCTGCCACTGACCACAGAGGCTGGGGACAGACAGGAATGGAAACCCGAAACATCGGATAGGTATTAGGTGATCTGCTCCTGACCCAATTGATCCACTCACTTGTCTGTTTTCAGCCTCATCCTCTTGACCTTTTTTTACCTGGGGCATTTTCAGATTTCCTACTAGTGAAGAATTCCCCACATTCATACAATGTGCCTAGCTGTGGAATTGTTCCTCAATTGCACAAAGAAAGGAAAAATGACGACGATAAGCTAAAGTTTGGGCTTATTTGAGGGGCTTCCACAAAGAAGAAGGGGGTCAAACCTATTTCCCAAAGCACCAGAAGGCAAGATAAGTAAAAGCACCACTACAGAGGGATGATAATTAATTAATTCAGAAAGCTACTTGGTCTGTAAGTTTCTACTGTCAGGATTAATCAAGATTGAGAAGGAAGAGGGTTCTCAATCTTTGAATTATAATTTACAGATAACGGGGAGGACTACCTTGATATGGTAGCTTTGCCAAATCTTGAGATTCCAAAGAATCTCACCGGCTCAAGGTTGACTCAGCCTTCCATCCTTCCGAGGTAGATAAAATGAGGAATGTATATATACATTGCTTACTGGTGTACACCGCTTAGAGAGTGCTTGCACTTAAAGCAGTATATAAGTCTCATAAATAAATAAATACAAAACACAGGAAGTGTCCTCTCACACAAGGAGACAGTGTTGAAATACCAGATGAATTGTCATAGAATTGGGTAATTAGAAATGGAAGACCATTGGACTGATCGGAGCAGTGACTAGGAGGGGGCCAATAAACTTTCAATTCAGTCTTGGATGGGGAGGACAAAGATAAAAACAAATTCCCCCACAGCCTTCCTACTTCTATCTCGGTGTCTTCCTACCCATGTGTCTGATTCTCAGGTGCCTTTTTCAAAAGGCAACAGAACTTTGTTTTTCCTTGAAGGCATTTCGCTTCTCATCCAAGAAGCTTCTTCAGTTCTGATGAGAAGCACGTCTTCAAGGAAAAAAGCTCTTTTTTTGAAAAAAGCGCTTTTGGAGTCCTATCTATATGCTTCAGTTGCCTGTTTAAGCACAGCCTTGGCTAAATCCAACTGTGCCAGCTGTCCCTCTTGAAGAAAAAAAAACAGGTCCAAGGAACTGTAGAGGCAGAAATTCTGGAGGACAAACAACAGGTTTCATGAAAGGTAGAGGAACTGTTAAAGATACTGAAAAAAGCTGACAGCCCAGGTTTGAGAGCCTGCACAATGAGGTGAACACCCATTCCTATCTCAGCTCCTGCCCATCTAGCAGTTTGAAAGCATGCAAATGTAAGTAGGTAAACAGGTACCACCTCGGTGGGAAGATAGCAGTGTTACCTTGTACCTCAGCCTATAGTCATGCTGGCCACATGACCACAGAAAATGTATTCTACCCTACCCTTATCCCAACCTCACTCCCCAACCCCATCCAACACCCTTACCGATCTTATCCCTTCCCCACCCTTATAAAGTATTTTTTTTAAAAAAAGAAAATGTATTCAGATAATGCTGGCTCCATCGGCCAAGAAACGGAGATGAACATCGTGCCCTAGAGTCAGACACGACTGGACAGGGAAACCTTTACCTGTAGAGCAGAGGTGAGGAATTATGGTCCCTGTATGACTTGTGGACTGCAACCTCCAGAATTCCTGAGCCAGCTAGAGTTGAGGTCATAAAAGAGCTACAGTATGGTTCTCCACCCCTGCTTTAGAGGAACAGGAGATCAGATAGCTAAGATAAGATGAATAATGAAAGAAGCAGAAGAATGAAGAGATTTACTTTTGCTTTACTAACTAAGGAAAGTCTTTGATTGTGGAGATCAGGCCAACACCAGAATATATTAAGGCTAATGGATGTGCCAGAATGTCTAATTATTCTTCAGAGGAACCTTTGCAATGAACCAGAAGCTACTGCTAGAACTGAGTTTAGAGAGACAGTGGCTTGGCACTACCAAGTGAGGGAAATAAGGACACATAAATTGTTTAACTTGTACCATGAATATATTTATAAGATTGATTGACAGGATCAGAAGACATGACAACTGAAATAAAAATTGTGAGATTTTTTTGAACTAACACAGATATGCAGGTGATGCTTTTTTGTTAGAAAACAGGCTTAGAAGAGTAAATTATAAAAGCCCAAAGTGAAAGGGAAGACAATCAGAGTTAATATTAAGATGACTATGGTTAATGCCAACAAGTTTGCTTTGAGAATTCACATTTGATAATGGAACACAGTAGTTAGTATACACTGATCTTCTTGACGACAAGAGCTGTTAAAAATGAACACAGCACTAGAGAAGTAAACAGGAGATTAACCCTAGTGACTGA